TTCTGACTGGGGTTAGGTGATTGTATACAATGCGTGTTTTGTTTATTCAATTACCATGTCTATCATGATATGCCAGTTTTCTGGTTTTGGAAAAGTCACAAAGGAGCCAAAAATGAAAGATACTAAAAATCTTGCCCTACAAACTCTAGTGGTCTTATCTTTTTGATGGACCAGTTCCAGCACATACAACTTTTTAGCACTTACAAAGTTCTAGTTACTACACTGTAGACTAGTCGTCTGTGATGACACTGTAAGTATAAACATTTCAAGGCTTTTTCCATGACTATTAGTGAGAAAGGCCTATAAATAGAAACACAACAGAACTAGTAAAGCTTTGGTGGGCTCCAAAGGAGCATGTCTAGGCTATCTGCCTATTAATGAGCGTTGCTACCAGGTCTAAGCCCATCACCACTGAGCAGACTGATTATATTTTCCTAACAGCAATTCGCAGACTCCACAATTAGAGCCATGAGGCTCAGATAAGCCACAGCGTTACTTCCTGCCGTGTCTGGATTAGAGAACTGCAATTGGAAAGAATAAAATTTGTTTAAATAAATGGTGAAACCAAAGTAACTCCATCTTAAAGCTAATCTGCCATCTTGACTGTCCTGACTCCTTAGCTGCCCTCTCAAGGCTGGAATATAACCTAAGTTGTTACAATAAACATGCCTATTATCCTTATCCAGGGAGCAGAGGGTCCGTGATCATCATTAAGATATGGTATTGCCACATCTAAATGATCCATCAAAGGCCTTCCTGCAAATATTCCCCTTTACAGCCCCCACCCCATAGAAACCATATAAGCATATGCACTGGGATAAAGGGTACATAGAACACTATGGAATATTTAAATAATAAAACTTTCTGATGATTTCTGTAAGTTTAAAGCATTTATATTTTTGATTTGGAACATTCTGTGTCTTAGTCTGCTATTGTATTACTAACGGAAATACCTGACACTGAGTGTTTTATGAAAAATAGAGATTTATTTGGCTTATGATTCTGGTGACTGGAAATCCCAAAACATGGCCACATCACAACATAACCAACAGAAGCAAAGATGATGGCAGGTGCATGCAAAAAGAGAGACCTAAGGGCAGCCATGTTCCTTTTATAATAACCGGCTCTTGTGGGAATGAATCTTCTCATTAGAGCCTTTGGGTGTCAGGAAAGTCTTGAATAATTTTTACATAGAAAAACATAGAAAAATATGTCATGACTTTTCCAAAGATGTAATATAACTCACTCCTCTCACAAGATACCATCAGTCATTCATGAGCATGATGTTGCTATGATCCAAATACCCATCTGTAGGCCTTATTTCTTAAAGGTCTCACTCTCTCCCAATGCCATCGACTGGGGAATGAATTACAAAACAGGAAACTTTGGGGGACAAATTATTATCTAAACCATAGCACCCTGTTTTCAACTTTAAATAGAAATATTAGATTGGGAAAAAGGAGCATTATATTCGACCAAAGAAGTCAAAGAAGAATAAAGGATAACACAAAGAACTAAAAATTGAAAAAGAAATATATATCAAACAGAGGTGTATAAAGTAGAAAGCAAAGAAAGAATAGGGAAGATAATCAACCCCTCTGAAAATATTAATAAAATAGATAAATAATAGACAGATTTGGTCAGTTAAAATATATGGGAACCTAATCACAGATACTATATTTTAGATTATACTTTAATTAAAAATAGCATATTAAAAAAATGCTCTTACTCAAAGGACACTCACATTGGCTACAAACTCCTGGATGATAGGAGGGGACTATGTACATTCCCATTCATATGGGAGGGCAAAGGTTGGGGTATAGCCCATAAGAGCTGAGTGGGTTGGGCCTGAGAACTCTCAAAGGTAACTAATTGAAAATTCCTTCCAAGACAAGGGCCCAAAGCAAAGAGAAACTGCTGGTGTAAAATTAAGACACAATAAAACATTAAGAAGTCTTTCTTCCAGAATAGGACAGAGAGGCAGTTGAGACTGAACTGAGGCATGCTGAAGGTGATGACCTTGGAACATGGACCTCCTCTGTCTCATCTTTGATCCCTTTTCTCTCCTAAAGGATATGGAAGGATTTTGCTGATATTCCATTATTGGACTTTAGGTAGACTGGACCCTCACCTTTGACCCTCTCCCTGAGGTTTCAGGTTTATATCACAGGAAGGAAGATAGAAGATTGTCAACACACCAGGACAGATTTTTGTCATGAGCTATTGCCCATCTCTCAAGTACACCTAGATCCTGCGAAGTACTTACTCATCATCATTTGAGCACTGAACTCATTCCTTCTCCCTCTTCATTTGTTGTTTTGCCTTAAAATCATCCTGAAATCTATATGACCTCGACATGCACTATTTAAGGTAACTTGGGTGCTGTGTCGGGCAATCATCCTCGTTTTGGTCTGAAATAACTCTTTGGCTTTATTTTGCCTCAGTCTCCCCTTAGAGGCTGTCCTAGGAACACAGTTTACATGCAGCAGAACAGTTCTTGCTGCCAAAAGAGGGCCTCTATAGAGGTGGATGGAGAGGACAAAGCCAGGACATCTCAGGAGGAAAGGCACATTGGTCAGCATACGAGACCCATTGGATAGGAGGCCTAGAGCCACAAGGCAGGGAGACCTTCTGTCCCCTAAACAGTAAGAAAACATTACCCCACTCAAAGGAGCAACAGAAAAGGACAAAGGTGAAATCCAGTATCAATTGTTTATTGGTACAAAGAGGAATCCGGAGGAGATGGTAGCTCTTAGGAACTGTGTATATTTACTAGACAGATGTGCTCAGAAATTGGGGAAAACTATAATCCAATATTTCAAAATGAGCTAAAATAAATGAGGAGAATAATATGAAGAGTCTTCAGAAAGTTTATGTAGAATATGTATTCTGAAAGAAAAACTATACATGGATTTCAAAAATTTTTTGCATCCCAATAATCTTGTGCTTTAAATCCATTTATCCACAAACTTTCTGAAGCTCCCTCATAGAAGATGCCAAAGAACAACAGAAATTTTTTCTCAGTTAGAGAACTGAGAAATAAGGCATTAGAATTCAGGAATAAATAAGTGAAAAAAAGAAAATAATAGTTTCCAGTGGGATGGCTAAACTGGAAGGTCAGTGAATGACAATGACAGACGTGTGAGGGGAGGGGTCACTTCACTGACTGTTCCCTCTGTCTGGCTCTCAGAAAAAATGCTCTCTAGCAGTGTGGGGGAGGATCCCGAAAGCTCTAGTATTCAATGACAGGTGTCCAGTTTGAATGACAAAGTACTGCACCAATCAGATTCTGAGGAGGGCTCCTAACCAGTATCCAGCCCCTCAGGTTTAGGATCTGGCTGGTAAGGGAGTCCCTGTAGTTTGAGTTGATTCATTTTACTCTTCTCTTGCAAAGGAAGTAAAGCTTCATAAGATTATTTTTGTAGAAGCCATCAGAGCAGAGCCCAAGGGTGGACTGTTGGGGACTGCCATCTTCTGGGATCTGCTCTACTATCCACTCACTCATGTTCACGGGTCACAGCTGTGACTTCAAAGGCAAAAATCTCCAGCCAAAGGAAATTGCCTCATCAAAAGTGAAGTCCCAACCAGGTGGCTGTAGTAGAGACTTGCTGATATAGGACCCAAACCTCCCTGGCTTAGCTTGGAGACAACAGAACGGCTATCTGGCTTTGGGGCACTCACCTGGTGTTAACACTCAAATGCAACCACATTGTGGGGAGCTCCTCTCTCTCTAGTTCCTGCCATCTTTAGTGACTGTTGTAACTCCCATGACCACTTCCCCAAAATGTCTTCGTGTGACTCTCCGTCTCACAGTCTGTGATCACAGGTTAGTAAGGAACATTTTCTTGGTCTGGTGGGGATCCTCTGAGGCTTCAGATGTAGTTTCAGCTTGATCACCCCTCATACTATTGAATGAAGAGGCTTGGGAAGGCTCAGACACACATTTGCCTAGGATTCTCAGCCCAACAGTGGCCAGGGCAGGACTAGAAGCCAACCTTCCTCATTCCTGTGTAGTTTCCACTCTAGTGTATGCCTTCTTGAAGTAATGCATTCTTCGGTTAGCAAGCTTTCCTTCTATATGAGGGAGCATCAAAAATTTACCCAAGGAGACCGCAGGTGGCGCAGTAGTTAAGGTGCTGGACTCCCAGAGTTGACTACTGTGCAAGTCCTGAGCCAGGTGGCTTAAAACTCATGCCAGGTATGTGAGTATGCATGCATGCCCCAAGTCCTGAGAGGATAACGGAGACTGAATTGCTGTGAGGCCAACCTCCTGGGGGTGATTTCTCACTTTCTCTCTCTCTCTCTGCCTCTCTGTGTGTCTCTTGTGAGTGCACATGCCCTATAGCAGAAATCTCGATTAAAAAAAAAATACACATTTTCCACTAACTTTTGAAGCCCCTTCTATTTTCTCCTCTTACACACCTGGATGCTTCTTTCTTGAACCCTAGAAATCATTTTCATGAGGAATATTTCAATACTGGCTTCCTCTTACATTTACGCATTGTTCATGAACATTCTGCTATTCCTGGTCTTTCCTAAGTGTCCTACAATTTGCCTTCTGGAAATTCTTTGTTGACTGTTAAAAAAGAAATAACTCACAACCAGATATATGCACTGTGATTCTTCTTGCTGTTGGGAAATCAGAATGCCATCCGAGAATTCCACTAAGTGGTTCGAGTTTATTGTTACGATTGTCTCAGGATAGGAGCAGGATGGCTTTTACAGTACAAGAATGAGGAAGCACTAATTAATTCTTTAGGTGACACTGAACATCACTGAGATTTATCTTCTTAAAGCTGCACATTCACTGTGATAGTATCTTCCCTTCTTTAGAAATGAAGTGCTACCATTTGTCCTAATAATATATCGCATGAAGGAAACGGAACAGTAAGAAGTGGATTCTTATTTCAATTTTTTAAAATTCTGCATGTATAGTGTATTGAAAATAATCACTTTTCCTATTTCATGCAAAATAAAGAGTATTCTTAAAATGACTTTGCAAGATGTGCTTTATTTCAAGTCAGCCCTGAATCCAAACTACACAGGATCATTTTTTTTTTTGACATATTCTAGCCCATTCAGTGATTCTTCTCGGAAACTGTATTTTAATATGGAATGAAAACTACATTTCACTCATAAATTTTTCATGCTACATTGTTATGTCATGAAGAGGTTGTATTACCAATAATAATAATTTAAGAAAAGGCCATTTTTATTTCCCCAAGCTCAATATACATATTTCTTTCATAATTATGAACTTAAAAAACCCGTCTCAGATGTAAAAATGTGAATTGGAATATGTAAACTCTGATATACCTGAAAAACAGGAAGGAAAATGTCACATACTGGAAAAACCATTGCCTGAAATCATCGAAATGGGAGAAAGCCTGTTGGGGAATGGGGAGAGGAAGAAGACGGTCATGACCTCAGTTATTAAAGAGCTACAAAGTCAAAGTGTTCCATATCCAACTAGGTTGGCTTTTACCTTTCTGTCTCTTCTTTGCTTTCTGTGAGGAGCGCTAACTCTAAAGCAGAGTGGTCGCCATCATTGAAGAGAGTCACTGTTGAACTTCCACCAAGCAGGTGCCCACCTATTTGTTTTGCTGCTTTTTAAATTTTTTTCCTGAGAAGTCACTGGTGTTAAATGGAAAGATTTCTTATTAATCTTCAGTTAAGATAAGGCAGTAAGAGTATTACTAATGTTACTTTTTGCTTAGAATGAGGCTTATCCTCCCACTGGCATCTTCACGGAGCATTGGTTCCTTCTCTCTGTTCTCCCTAGAAACACGTTTAGGAGTTTCCAGCCTCCTATTGCTGTTGCATAATTCGATGTGCTGAAGACTCAGCTAGTCTCATCACTGCAGCTTCCCCAGCGGTGATAGAGAGCTGTATAGTGCATTATAGCATCTCCCCAGGAAAGGTCCCGCCAGAGAAAAACATGGGGTGTCTTTCCTTCTTCTCTTCTGTTTCTCTGAGGGAATGGGCTCATAAGTGATTCCTTCACATAGTCAATCAGAATGCAAGACACTGTTGACTAAAACATAAAGCAAGTAGCCCTAATGTCGGAGAAATGGAATTACAAATAACTTCTTCAACAGTGCCTTACCTTGCAAAGTAGCTTCTCCTGCAGAAGGAAGTAGCTCCTTTGGGCCACCTGTCAGAAGAGAAATCATTTCCATCGAACTAGAAATGCTTAGCTCTTAGGAGAATATTGTGCTTTTTTTAAAAAAATTCAAATGGTAACTTTATTTGCAGTCTGTGTTCCTAAGGTATCAATTTGTTTTTTCTCTAGTCCATTTGATCATTGTTTCTGGTGAACGGTACAGGAATATTAATTTGGCATAGAGATCTTCTTCTAGTTCCAATTCTCCTGTCTCTCGAACTAAAAAAATATCTGTGCACAACTTCAAAATTCGATCCACGTTTGGAAGCTCTTCAAACATGATGGAGTGAGAAATCCCACTGAAGAATTCACGAACGAATTTCCCAATCACCAGGACAACTGAAGCATATAATCCCATGATACTGAAAAACACACGAGTAGAAACTGAATACAGCAGCTGAATATGATTAATAGCATGCGTCTAAAGGAAAAAAAAATAATTTCCCCTCAAACTCCATAGAAGATAGAAGCTTATGAAAGCTTAACATAGTTCCCTTTGGTGAAAAACTTTATTCTTTTCTTAATTAAAAAAGCAAATTGAGTTCTTTATAAAAACAAATTACTTATTATAAAATTGTTACACTTACATAATGAAAGTCTTTCTTTGTCCTTGATTCCCTCCCTCTCACCCGCCTGCATTTCCCACCCTCCTCTCAGGGTTGCTCTCCATGCTTTTATACCTTCCTATCTTTCAGTTTCAGTAGAAAGAAGCATATCATGTAAGGGTCCCAGAAGGGGGAAGTTATCTGTTGATACTAATGGGTATGGTAATATCTTTGACTCGACACAGTATAGTCATGCTGGAAAAATTCATTTTGTATGCTGTAATGATATACAGTGATTGAATTTAAAAAAAAATTACATAAAAAGTAATGAAAGTCCTCTCAAAACTTACCTTGTGGTAATAACCAATGCTAACAATTTCATGTGTGAACTTCAGGTGGTTTTATTGCATATGTTAACTATATAGACTAAATAACATGTTTGGTATAAATGCAATGGCCGTTTTCTGCTGCAGGCTCTTTCCTCTTTAACAACATTGTCTTTCTCAGAGCTCCTTTGTTGTCATTGTTGTAGAGTACACGTGTGCTCACCAGGGAGGGATACCGAGGGAGAGGAGAAAGCACTGCCCTTGGAGAATGGTCATGATGCAATCGTTTCTCCTTTATTTCTCCCACATCTTAGGATTCTGAACAGGTACATGAGCCTGGCTTCTCAAGCCAAGATGTCCATGACTCGAACCACAAAATCAGCTCTGCGGGACCTGGCTGTGTTAACCACCAGGCCACAGAGCTAGACTAAGACTCATTTTTATAAATAAAATTATTATTTTATTATTAGGTCATCAGAAAAGTTATGACATATTTTTACATGCAAAAATGCATCATGACTTTTCAGATGATCCACTATAATATTATTATTTTATTATAATTATAGTATACTAAAACTCTGGGTGGAAAAAAGTTTTCTTGTAAGGTTAATTTCAGGAAATACACCATTTTATACTTGTGTCTTGTACAGAATGTGGGCAGCCTAGGATTTAAGCATCAGCGTGTGCTGAGATGGCCCAGAGGCATCCAAAGTGTGATATCTGTTTGATCCACATGTTAAGGGTTGGAAGGGAGTCTAAAGAGAAAAACAATAAACCCTCCGCTGATTTCTGAACATAAACACTAGATTGCATCAAACTGTACCGTAACAGGAGAATGTGGAGTAAAGAAGCCATATATTCCTGGGGTATGTAGGTCACAGGAGGCAATGTGATTTCTGGGATTCTGGTCCCTCATTTTTCAAATGAAAGATTAAGGATATGTTAATTTTAATACTACAACTATAAAATTAGAGAATTCTAAAAAGTTAAAGATTCCCATACTCAATTTTATATGATACAGAAATACACCTTCGTAATTATTAATTACAATGATTAGTTATTAAATGGGTCCTTACCCATAGCCAGCCAGGAACCCCAGACTGGGGGGGCTGACTTTGTCATTGAAGACCACCAGCTCCAAGGCCTGAGAGTCCTGGTTGTATATTCTATTTCCAGTCAGGTTGAGAACCCACCACTCACTGTTTGATTTACTTGTATTGTCTCTGGACAAAATGATGGTGATATTCATGAAATTATTTTCTGGAAGGTGAGAAAAATGAAATCGAGTTAGTCTGAGAATTTAAGGATTTAATGTTAAGTCCACAGGGCTCAGATGGCAAAACCTGGTCACTATCCTAGTATGTGGTTGCCAGATGAAAGAGACACACGCACACATTAGCAATGCAAGTAGAAAAGGAGGAGTGGGCCCTTGGTGTGCCCGCAGATTCCTTTATTCGGTTAAGAAGTCAATTGCTGTTGTGTATGTGGCAGCCAAACCATAGGCAGAGAGTGGAGGAACCATCATCTGAGAGCAGCTGTGCTGATAATGCCACACAACTCAGTAGACATTTAAAGAGCCAAATCACAATTTTTGGTGGAGTTGATTGATTCATTCATTTTATTAGCATTTACTGAATGTCTCCTGGGAAGAAGGCACTCTAAAATTAGGGGCTGATGGGTTACAAAAATAAGTATAACATTTTTCCTTATTGCTATGGGAAAAGACCGTGTACAGAAGCATGCTTTATCGGCACACGACAACCACCATAGCACCTACATTGACAAGGTCTTCTAGCTTGGACAGACCACTTCTGGTTGGTATGATCCATGAGAGCTTCACAGAAGAGATGATGTTGGAGCTGAATTTTGTTGCGTGAGCTTCAACAGGTGGAGGTGAGGTGGGGAGAGGGGGTCATTTTAGGAAGAACTGATGGAATAAGGCTCCACAAAACTTGGAAAACTGTATGGTCCAAGATTCCTTTTTTTTTCAAGTTTATTTTTTCCATGATAAAAGAGAGATAGAGAGATAGACACATAGCATGCCCAGTAGGATAGTTATGCCAATCACCCAAAAATCCCCTCCAGTCTTCAATCAGCCCTAGATTGTGGACAGGTGCATGCCTAGCATACACAGCGAGGTCTCCACACTTGAACCAGGAACCTTCTCATAAGGGATTGCCTTGCAGGGTATTGTGTTTTATCACTGCAACACTGTCTGGTCCTCTATGATTGCTTTTGTTGAAACATAGGGTGAATGTAAAACAATAGTAAAAGATAGGCAAACATGAAGTTTGGAGTTATAACGTATAGATCTTTCTAGAAGATTCAATCATACCAATGATATAATGCCTCTACTGAGCAACATGGTAGCAACTGTAAATTCTGTGGGGGTGGAAACATGTCTACGTTATTCCATGTTAGATTCCCAGAGTGTAGGGAGTTAGACCAGTGCCTGGCAAAAAATGTTCATTAGATGGATAGATGGAAGGATGGATAAGACTGAAGAATGTCAGGATACTGGTAAAACTAAAATCCTTTTCAAGGAAGAATGTAGACCACTCAGAACACTTAAGAGCAGCAAACTGTTGGCTCTGAAGTCTAGAAACAGTTATAAGGGGAAAAATCTGGACCTGGGAAGAGGCAGGCGAAGTTTGGATCTGGTTCTATGGCCTCTGTGGGGTCATTCAAACTCCAAGTCTCAGTTTCCTCATATGTACACTGGTGATTACCATGAGCCTGTGTCTAATAAGCCTTGTGGTAGATTAAAGACAACTCAGCAAAGCTCATCATATAAACTGTTATTCTGAGCAGTATCTAAGGATCAGGCTATGCAGTCTGTGAAAGAGACATCAAACCACTCATAGGCAGAGAGACCAGAATTATGACGGACAGAAAAGGTAGAAGAGGAACTCAATGATGCTGAAAGATTGAAGGCTATGAGGGGTGGGATGTGGGGCATAGCGAAAGGTTGACCTCAGTAAGAAGAGAGGACTCATCTTTCTTTGAGCCTGAAGGAGGAAAGGAGATGAACATGTGAGACATTTTTCCAATGATAGGAAAGATGCTGACAGAGCCACTGTTGACTGGCATAAGTTTATTGGGGTAAGTTAACAGGGAGGTGATATGCTGGGAACCACTAGCAGGAAGAGCTTTCAGAGGGACAAAATCATTTCATGGAGAATGAATGATTGTTGACAATTTGTGTTCCCAGACTAAACATTTCTAGAACTTCTCCTGATTGAAAGGGAAATACCAGATTTTGTAGTGCATCTTGCAATTACCTGGTTAAACATATTTACTACTGAAAAAGAAGAGTGTGTGGATGTGGAATTTAGCCTTGTGTGTGTCCTTTGGGGCCCTCATCATCTGCTTTGGCAGTCTCCATGTAGGGTAACTTTACTTATGCCATTATGGTTCTAGTTAAATGTGAGTTATAGTCAAATATACTATCTATATTTATTAATCCTTGGGCTTTTAGGTTATCATTTTACTGTTCTTTTTTTAAGGCATATGCACTTGCCAGAGGCAGAGAAAGAGAAATCACTACCCAGGGGGGTGGCTATGCTGCAATCCCTTCTCCTCCATTCTCCTCTTGGATTTTTTTTTTTTTGGTTCAGGGTTTTTAAATTTATTTTTATTTATTTTATTTTTCCCCAACAAGAAGTTTCAAATTCTTTCTATCTAGGTTTTTTAATTTTTAAGGTAGGGAAACATCAAATTCACCTTGAGTATTTCAGGTCTCCTGAGGAAGACACACACTTATGGGACCTTGGCAAGATCGTGCTCCTCAAGAACACGTCTTTATTATTTTCTTTTAGTTTTTGGCATAGTACACAGAGGCCAAGCTGGGCTAGGTCTCCTGACAATACTTCTGCAGGCACTGTCTCCATATAAATGCTGGAAATTTAGTGGATCGGAATCACCTGGGATGCCTGTTAGTAATGCAGATGCCTGTTCCTCATGGCAGATCCTGGCTCTGTACCAGAATTAATGAAGGTGGTGCACTAATAGTCTTTTTTTCTTTCATAATTGCCAGAGAGTGCTCCAGAGAGAAACAGAAAAAGAGGGAAAATAAAATATCCTTCACTGGTGCATGGTCACACCGCAATCCCTTCTCCAACCTATCAGAATATTGGGCACACACACACACACGCACACAGCTTCCAGTGTGTTTTTTAAACTTCTGGAACTGAAATTTGAATCACAGTCAGCCTTGTGGGAATTGGCTCTCTTATCTACTAGGTTACTTGCATACACATGTGCCCGGCATGAGTTTTAAACTGCTGGGTTCGAGACTCAAACTGAAGTTGACTATGTGGGAGTCCAGCAACATAACCATTATGCCAACTGCTGGTCTCTTGTTTTATTGTTTTTATTGTGAAGGGCCAATCATATTTAACAATGTATGAGGCAGTTTCCTGCAAAAGGTCTGCTGGCTAATAGAAACAAGTAGAGTGCTCTAAGTCACTAAATGTGGATTTGAATCAATCAGGATATATAGCAATAAAAGAGAAAATAGCTTTCAGATGAGTAAATGATTCCTTCTGGCTAGTGAAGGCAGGAAGGGGTTTTATGTTTCTTGCCACGTATGGAAATTAGATTGATAAAGGCTGAGAATGCAAACTGTTGAAATTAAATAAAAACAAATTTTTAAAAAAGTTCTAAGATGATTCTTGTTTGCTCTTACCAGATAAAAGTTGCTTTATGGGTTTTGAGTTGGAATCACTGGGTGCTTTCACATAATATGGGTAGATCTTTTCTATTGTCCTGTGCATGAAGATAGAAAAGATGTAATTAAGTTTTAGTCATGTTACTCGCCTTAATGGATTTTTTCTATTTTTGTTGCTATTTATCAAACAAATAATGACAAGAATATTCATATAATTGTATAATGTGTAGATATCATAACTTACAGGTTTCTATTTTAATCCAAATTCTCTGAAGCTGAACAAATAAACCAGATTCTGCATAGATACACATGTACACTCTGTACGCATGCTAATTAAGTTAATGGCTCAAAAATGGCTATAGGGCTTTGCCCATGTTAGTTACTTGCTTCTGAAATCAATGGGCTCTCTTTCATGCTAGGATTCTCTAACTCTTATCTAAAACATGGAACACTCTTCTATTTTTAATTTTTAAGATTAAAAAATATCTACAGTAAAGTGAACTGTCTGAATTAATTTAGTGAAGAGTAAGGAGCAAGGAAAGAACTCGTGACCTGGACCTCATGATTCTTAGCTGAGCGACCTTGAGCATGTCTACACCCAGGTTCTCATCTGGGAAATGATGGGAGCAGATTTTTAAAAAGGTGACATACGATGAGCATACATTTTTGTGAGGCATGATATGATTTTTGAGTATAAGAATACAATGTGTATTGATTAAGTCAGGATAATTAGTATATCCATCATCTTAGCCGTTTGTCATAACTTTGTGTTGCGAACCTTTCTTTCTTTCTTTTTTTTTGGGGGGGGGAGGTTTTTGCTATAGGGCTTGTGTGCTCGCCAGAAAGATAGAGAGAGACACAGAGACAGAAAGTGAGAAATCACCCCCCTCCCGGGGGGTTGACCACACTACAATCCCTTCTCCTTCATTCTCCTCTCGGGATCCTGGGCATGCACGTACACGTGTTTGGTGTGAGTTTAAGCCACCGGGTCTGGGACAACAACTGCTGGTCCCATGTGTTGGGAACCTTTAAAATCCCTTTTTAATTAACTCTGAGATGGGCATCAACTGTATTCACTGTATTGTATTTTATCTTTAGAAATTATTCCTCTCATCTATCTATGATTTTGTTTCCATTAATCAAGAGCCCTCTGTTCTCCCCACCCCATCCTTCCCAGCTTCTCATAGTCATTGTTCAACTCTCCACTTCTGTAAGGACATTTTATTTAAACCTCTACATAGGAGTGAGGACATGTGGTATATCTCTTTCTGTGCCTCTTACTTCATTGATCACAACACCCTCCAGGCTCACCCATTTTACCTGAAATGACAGAATTTAATCCTGTTTAATGGATGAAAGGTGTTCTATTGTGTGTGTGTGTGTACATATATGTGTGCATGTGTGTATACACACTAGAAGATTTGATGATTTGATGATCTGCAAGGGCCCTTGAACTGTAATGATCTACAAAGGACATCTTAGTCAGGGACACTCCTAAGGGCACATCCCAGCAATCCCTGTATTCAGGGCATTAAAATGGGGCCAGGGTAGAGTGGAGGACAAACTAGGGGAACTGCTGGTGGACATCAAGCAGGTTTTGACTAATTTTTTCTTTTGTTTTCTTACTAGTTGTCATAGTAGTATCTAAACATCACAGCTTGCTTCTATAGATGGAGGACTTACATGGCAGGATAATATTGTGAAACATAGTTTCTCTCCTCCAGTTTTCTTTTACACTGGTTTCCCTTGCCCCACTTGTCACCTCCATTCAGGGAGCTAGGGATCGAGTAAACAAGGGAAAAGAGTAGCAGGAGGAAAGGATCTCACAGGGTCTTGCTATAGCTTTTGGTGATTATGGTCAGATATGAGCCAGGTTTGCTACCCAGAGGCGAGATCAATATTCCCTGGGCTAGATGTTCAGAGACCGGGATAGAGCTTGGTCCTGATGGCTCCCTAAGAACTCTTGAGCCCTGCCTGCTTCTCTTGGGGTAAGTGGCTGACACAGGCACAGACGATGAAGTGGCTGACACGATGACCAACAGCCTGGGTTGTTTTGGTGCATCTTGTGCCCCATCCCTGAGCAGGACTCTTTTTTTTTTTTTGGAGAGGTTTTCGCTATAGGGCATGTGTGCTCGCCAGACAGACAGAGAGAGACAGAGAGATAGAAAGCAAGAAATCACCCCCCAGGGGGAATGGTCACGCCGCAATCCCTTCTCCTCCATTCTCCTCTCGGGATCTTGGGCACCACGCACATGTGCCTGGCGTGAGTTTTAAGCCACTGGGTCGGGATGGGAACCGCAGTCGACTATGTGGGAGTCCAGCGACATAGCCATTACGCTAACTGCTGGTTCCCCTGAGTAGGACTCTTGAAGGTAAGAAGAATTCCACATGCCCCACAGTGCAGGAGGAATGAAGTCTCACTGGCCACATGCCGTCTGGACAGGTGGACCCAGGAGTACCTGCCGCAGTTTCTGCAGCACCAGATGCAATGAGAATCGGCACAGTGAGTTCTAGTGCACAGAGTGGGGTCCACTAGCTGAGGCAGGGAGTAACTCTGCACTGTGGACAGACAACTGAAACCTAGAAGAATGAGGCGCATCTCAACAGCAGTCCAGTGGGATAGCACTTTTTGACAGACAGATGATCTCCCTGGAACCTGGCACTGCACAAACATGGATAAATCCAATGAAAAATGGAGGAAAAGCCCAAGAACTGAGGTCAAGCTTCTTTAATCTAATAACATGGAGTCTCCAAATAGAAACTTGCTTGTGTTACAAAAGAATGAAGTTGTATTTCTTATACATGTGAATTTGTAGAGGTGGAGTAGCTACATATTCCTATTAATAAGAAAAATAAACTTACACTGGAGTTTTTGAACTTTCTGTGTCATTGCCAGCTATCATTTTGGCTATATTTTCTCGTGTAATATTTTGAAGAGGAAAAGAAAGCTTATCTGTTGCTATTTCTGCTTTTGCACCCAGACTCATGTTTCTGTAAAGAAGGAGGAAAAAAAAAAAAAAAAAGCACTTAGTGTCAGTGATTATGCAGAAGTCCAGGAAAAATATTTTAAAAATTCACTTAACTTTTAAGGTTATTAGTATCACCACATTTCCATTGGGTTTGATTGCCAAGCCCAGTTCTTTCTGTCAACCTCACATCTATGTCCAGCTTCTTAGACAACCAAGTTAATAAAACCCAGGATGACACAAAACCCTTTAAAATAAAGTCAAGGGCAAGCAGGCGGAACATGCTGAGCCAAGGAGAAACCGTCCGGATGTTCTCACGGAATCTGAGAACCCAATGGTGTGAGCTTGCACAGCAACCAGTAGAATCCGTGTCTTTAAAAAAAAGTCCAATTAGTTGTTGATTTCTAAGCTGTGTGGTTATTTTGTCAGTCACTCTTCAACTGAAAGGCTAGGAGGTAACTTTTGGCAACTAGTCACGGCATTGGATATGAGGAATTTGGGACACTTAAAACAGAAAATAGATTAAAGGGATACTTTATTTTGAACAGCTTCTTTGGAAATTTTTTAAAAATGACTCTTGTGAATTAACTTTAAATTCTAGAAGCATTTCTTCCATACCTATCATGATACTTGATTCTAACTATGAAGTTGGTATAGTATTGGAAAACATAGACAAACTCAAGGAAAATGGAGGGACCCAAATGAATCTACTTCACTGCCCAAATAAGCTTGCCTAGAGTCCTCAATCACAAGACTGATGAAAAACTCTAGTGAATGAACTAGTATGCAGCTGTTCCCTCTTGTCCATGAGAGATACGGCCCAAGACTCCCAGCAGAAGCCTGGAACAGCAGACAGAATTGAATCCTATATATACTATGCTTTTACCCACATGCACATACCTATGACAAAATTTGATATATAAAACAGAAATCAACAATAACTAATAATAAAATAAGCAATTATAACAATGTCTTGTAATGAACATTATGCAAACATTATCTCTCATTCTCTCCCTCAAAATATCTTAAAAATTTTAGACTGCAGTTGACCTCGAGTAACGGAACCATGGAAAGTGAAATTGCAGATAAGGACCGACTACAGTGCTAGGTCAAGGTCCCTAAAACTACACCACTCAGATGTTGGGCTTTTGGATGCAATGTTTGTATGCAAGAATTTTACTAAGGCACCCTTTATTTATTTATTTATTTATTTATTTATTTATTTATTTATTTATTTATTTATTTTGCCTTCCAACAAGTGAAGGCAAAGTGATGGCTGCACATGCTGGTCGCTGGCTCGGATTGTGTGGAGGGGCATGTCAGTTTGCTTTCCTCCTGCTGGGGCAGCTGAGCTGCCCTCACCCCTCGTGCTGGGAGAAAAGTTTTGCCAGGGTTTTCCCAACATTGGAGGGATGTGAGTGCCAATCCAGGTTTCCAGTGGTTGCAAATTCTGTAAGAAAAACTTCAACCTTTCATGGAAATCCTAGACTTCCTTCAGACTCTATTTTGTTTTGTAAATCATCACTCTCTTTCTTTTCTCTCTCTTCTTATGGAACTCACTACAAGCCTCTCTTTAAAAAACTGAAGTTAATAGAAAAGAAGGAAAACCAATAATTACCAATAATTTCTTAGTCTAATCAGTGATTCCTGGGCAAGCCATTACTTAATAAATAAATATATCAGCTTTAGCATTGAAACAAAGTTCCCGAGGTAGTATGATAAAGTAATATCTACATTAATCTAATGCTTAATTTTTACATTCTTCTACCCCACCCCCACCCCCTTTCAGTTTAGGCTGGGGAAAGAGGGGGAATTATGCATGGAAATACAGTAACTACCTCTGAATACTCCATGAAAAAACAACAGAGAAGCTACTATTGGGGTCCGTGAGTTCGTGTATCATTTTCTGCTTACTGGGAGGGCTGATGGTCCACAAAGAATTTGAGTTTCCTTCCAGTTCTGCTACTGTTATGTCTTCTTTTTCATAATTTTCCAAAAATTGCATAGCACCCTATATGTGCACAAATACACATGCATAAATAGATTAAATACATAAGGCTGCATAAAGAAACCTATTACTCTTCCTTTTTAAAGGGAAAGCAGAAGATGTTTTCTCATAAAAGATCATGGAAATTCTTGAGTGCTCCACTGCACAGACCTTGTTTCCAAATCCACAGTATGGGCAGCACCGGGTCACAACAGCCAGCCCCAGTGGTGGTGTTGCCACACCAATACAACTATGGAAGCCTTCAATGAAACAACAGAGGAAGACCAGATAATTCGGTGTCTTTATATTTATTTATATTTTCTCCAGAAAGGGGGACATTTATCATGTGTGGGGAAATGTCTCTCCCATGGAAGAGACCTATTTAATTCATCGAGGACATCCCAGTCCTGTCTTGTTAGTTGCCCATTGCTCAAAATTAGATAACTTTAGCAAAGAGAAGGCATCCATTTACCTAATTGGGTTCTTAAATAAATAACAATGTAAAACAAATTTTAATGATGAGAATCATGTTATATTACTAAAAGTTTGGAGTATAATGAATAAAATAACATTTGCCACAACTCTGTTACCAGAACATTATCATTGTTTTGTGCAATAGATGATGTATGTCTTAATCTTTATCATTTAAAAATAATAGTCTATATACTTTTCATTTACGTTTTCACTTGAAAAATTCTTGTGTCATTTATTGTCTCTGTAAGTGTTTATTTTGTATTAAAAAGAATTTTCTTGGAGAATCTTTTGGCAACAAATATGTAAGTAAAAGAAAAAGTGGAAGCCCTGGACTGACCGCATGGTCTGGTGGCTAAGGTAGCCAGATTCCACATGGCCAACATCACAGTTCAAATCCTAGCCCCACTGACTTAAAAAACACGCAAGGCCTGTGTGGGTGTATGCCCCAAATCCTGACAAGATAAAGAAATGGAGAAAAGATTGTGGTGTGACCACACCCCATTGGAGGGTGCTTTCTCCCTCTCTGTCTCACTCTTCTGGTGAGCACACACACCTTCTACCAATTAAAAGGAAGTGGAAGCCCCTTGTGGCACTATGGCTTTTTAGGAGAACCAGTGCAAATCAAATTAATTTAATACATCTGCCATCATTTCCTCAACCAGCCTCTATCTACTGATCCTTCAAATCACTTCTGGTTTCTACTAATAATGTAGAGTCTTCAAGAAGTTCATGGAATGAGTGTGGAAAAAAAAAAAACTGAACATGGAGCTCAAAACTTTTTTGCACCAAAGTAAACTTGTTATTTTATTTCTAACAGTTTATTTTCCATGAACTTTTAGAAGTTCCCTTATATAGAGAATATCTTCATAAGCTATGTAGAGTTTCCCCATATTTTGAATTACTTTCTAAGGATAGATTTCCTACTAATCAAAAGATCAATATATACCACCATTTAAAATGTTGAAAAATGGACAAATATGCACTGAGCTTACATTAAAATGTGATGAATTAAAACTATGCTTATTGCCACTAATGCCCAACAACATAGACATAACTTCTAAGGTGATTGAAGTAGCCAGTGGCCAGGAACTTGATGTATAACTGATAACCCCTGAGAAGTTCTTTCCACCACCACAGGCCATGGCAAAATATTAAGTAATTTGACAACCAGTGAGTTTACCTAGATGAAATGTCTTCAGAGAGATCTACTATATGCATTTACTTACGGTGTCCTTAGAAAAACCTTTTAGAAATTTGTTAAACTTTGTTTGGTCCATAACTTTTAATTGGCTCTGTTGGGCGCTCATCGTGAAAATAGGCTGAAAAACAAGGACATACAGCATTGTCATTATTCCCAAGCCTGTCTCTGCATCGGGGTTAACAGAAACATTTACATTTATATATCACCCACTGATTACCTCACTGGCAATTAGCCTCAGAAATGTCTTTTTGAGGTGGTTATTCCTGTGATCAAAACTAAAACAGAACTATTCTTTCACTGTCATCTGCACTTTATCTTATATGTTACACATCTGTTGAACGGTCAAGATGGAGGCAGGACAGCTAGGTTGGAAAAACATACTAAGCACCCTGCAGGTGGCAACTGTCAAAGGCTGCTGCATCAGGTAAGGCTCTGGCAGGTTAGGTGAGAGTGGAGGAAGTGCACAGGATTACCTGATACCCTCCCAGGGTAATTGTGACGGAGACATCCAAAGGCTGGTTGATGACTCCTGCGACGGATTTGATCAAAGACATGAAGAGAAGAGGAAACCAGACGATACAAATGAGCAGCACGATGATCATGCCCCCCATGCCATACTTCACCACTTTCTTTTTCTTCTGGCCCCGAGGCTGGGGGTATCTCTGCAATAGAAGGGTTCAAACAAGGCTTAGGCAAGTGTTCCCATGAGAAGAGAAGAGAAGCAGGGTGGGGAGAAGGGCAGGACTCCTGGCATGGTGTTAGAACATGTGGACTTAGCTCTGATTCTTCTCTGCTTGCTCTGAAAGGGGAGAGGGTAACCTTGTCCCAACCTTTACAAGCTTTATGAAGTTCAGATGATAACAATGTATTTTCATATCTTTGTACTGGAATTTGATACTGTGGACTGTTCCTTTTTATTTCTAATTTACTATTTGAAAGTAAAACTAGAGCCCAATATTTAAAAATCTGAAATAGGGAGCTAGCAGATGGTGTAGCGTTCACGTCACTGGACTCCCATAAAGCTACCTGCGGTTCAAGTCCTGGACTCAGTGGCTTGAAAATCATCCTGAGCCCATGTGCATGCATGCCCAAAATCCCAGGAGGAGAATGAAGAAGGGATTGTGGCATGGCCATCACCCACCCCACCCCCGGCAATGATTTCTCACTTTCCCTCTCGCTGTCTCTGTCTCTTTCTCTCCAGCAAACGCATGCACCCTAAGGCAAAGACTACTTGAAAAATAAATCTGAAATATACACATAGGTGTAGATACATGTACACACATGCGTGCACATATATGTTGACTTGCTTTTTAAAACTTATTTTCTCAATGAGGCAAGTTTAGATCATCAGCAATCTTTCCCACTTAAACAGAATTCTAGCATTACATTATGAATTCAAGGAGATTTATTTTATCTCTGTCAAGAATCGTTTTGTTGGGATCACTATCAGTTTCTCTCCTGAAAGCTTGTCTGAAGCTCTTCTCAAAACTTTTCAAAATTCCCTTTTCATTTTTACTCTCTTCTGTGCATTTCCCGAGAAGAGCAGGGCAAACACCTTCTGAGCTAGAGGGCTACATTCTTCCTCCTTTATCAAAGGGTCTGTCATCTGCTTGTTCTGGGCTGCTTCATTACCCTTTCCCAGGTCATTTAATTTGCCATGTTTCCCAGCTTGCTGCTCCTTGTGGGCTACTTTCCAATCGGCTTCCTAAACCATCTTGGGAGGTGGCTGTTTGAAAACCATTGTGAAGTATGAATAGGAGTGAGTGGCTTGCTGGCCTATGCTTATACCAACATTTTGCTTTCAGGAAATGGTTCTTGCTTCACAAAGTGTACTATACTGATTTTGTCATTGTAGAGATAATAGAAAAAATAAAAACACAATGACTCTCAATGTGGTAAATATCAGAGGTGCTAAGTAGAGAGGGCTGTTGGGGCCCATAGGGAAGGATGGAGTCCGAGCTTGGGCAGTCAGGGAAGATCAATGAGTAAAAGGAGTGTCTAACTGACACTGGAGGTCGAGAAGGGGTTTGACAATGAGGAGGTACACAGGACGCTTCAACAGTGACAAGATGTGTCAAGGTGTCAAGTTCTTGTTTTTCCTTTTCTTAGATTTTTGCTATAGAGCATGTGTACTTACTGGAGAGACAGAGAGAGAGAGAGTGAGAACTCCCCCCCACCCCCAGAGGGATGACCATGCCACAGTCCCCTCTCCTCCATTTTCCTCTCGGGATTTTGGGCACTCAGGTACACGTGCCCAGCATGAGTCTCAAGCCACTGGGTCCAGCACTCGATCTGTGGTTGGCCATGTGGAAGTCCAGCATACCAACCACCATGCCTCCTGCTTGCCCTTTGTGTTAAGTCCTTATCTAGGAATAAAGACAGGTAAAACATCCATTGAAAAAGTCTCTTTGAGAGTAGAGAAAGGACAAGGATCTGGGCAAATGGGGAAGAAACAAATGTAGAACGGTAGATGCTCCCAGGCAACTTATACTGTTCCATTAGCTCTCAGCTTGAGACTTACATCCCCTGTGAGATACTCTCAGAGTATGGAGTGTCTCTGTCAAAGCATTTGTTATATACTGCATTTATTTGTGTGTCTATTTTATTAATATGTGTTTCCCTTCATTGGACTGTCAGTTCCATGTTGGTAGGGCCACTGCAAGTTTGTTTCACTACTTTATTCCCATGCTTAGCAGAGTTCCAGGCACATAGAAGTGCTTAGTAATTGTTTATGAGTTCTCACTCCTGTATGTATGACCCTTTACGACATATTTACTATTCCCATCAAGGGATAGAGAAACATTCCCTTGAATCTAGGCTAGCCTTTGAACTTGCTGTGACCAGTAGAATGTGGTGGAAGTAACGGTGAGGGAACCTTGAGCTGAACATACACTTTTCCCTTTTTCTCCCTCGGAATGAGCTGCCGTGAGAAGAACCTTGGACTCATTCCCCTGAGTATAAGAGAATACATGGAGACAGATTCCTGGCAAAGAGGCAGATGCAACCTGTGGGCATTTGAGTGAGAACACAGAATAATCCAGCTCCATTGCGGACACCAGATGACAGCTGCCACAAGATGGACCTCAGGCAAGATTGTCCAGTAGAGCCCAGTCCATCTTGCTGACCTGCAGAACTGTGAGCAAGTGACTAATATTTTATTTTTATTTATTTTCTTATTTTTAAAGGTTTTTGCCATAGGGTGTGTGCGCTCACTGGAGAAAGACAGAAACATAGAGAAGAAAAGTGAGAAATTATTCATCAGGGAGGATAGCCACACCACAATCCTTTGTCCTCCATTCTCCTCTCAAGATTTTGGGTGTGCATGCTCCCACAACCAGAGTGATTTTTGGAAATCCAGTGCCTCAACTACTGCACCACCTGCTTGCCCCTAGTGACAGTTATTTATTATTTTATTATTATTTTTTAACACGAAAACGCTTAGCTTTTTTTTTTTTTTAGAGAGGTTTTTGCTATAGGGTGCGTGCACTCGACAGAAAGACAGAGAAAGACAGAGAGACAGAGAGCGAGAAATCACCCCCCAGGGGGGATGGCCATGCCACAATCCCCCCTCCTCTTTTCTCCTCTCAGGATCTTGGGCACATACATACATGTGCCTGGCATGAGTTCAAGCCACTGGGTCCGGGACTTGAACCATGGTCGAGTACATGGGAGTTCAGCAACATAGCCATTATTCTAACTGCTGGTCTGTTATTTATTTTTTTAAGAGAGATTTTTGTCATAGGGTGCATGTGCTCACCAGAGAGACAGAGAGACAGAAAATGAGAAATCACCCTCCAGGGAGGATGGCCATGCCACAATCCCTTCTCCTTTATTTTCCTCCCAGGGTTTTGGGCATGCATGCACACATGTTCAGTGTGAGTTTTAAACTATCAGGTCTGGGACTTGAACCACAGTCAACTATGTGGGAGTGCAGTGACATAACCATTATACTACCTGCTGGTCCCTAATTTTAAATCACTAAGTTTTGAGGCAGTCTGGGCATGGGTTTTAGGATGGAAGTTGTCTGTGTGATCCTTTGCATGAATTTGGACATTTCTTAGCTACTATCTCCTGACAAGGCAGCCAATTCTGTAGTGGGGTAACTTCGAATGTTAGCAATTTCTTTATATTTCATTGAAACTTCCTGGGACTTTTGCTTACTGAATTCCATTTTTTTTCTTATTTTTTTGATCTCACAAAATAGTTTTAATTTCTCATATCTTTCCAACTTTTCAAGTTATTGAAAAGTTTGTCTTTTCTTGTTTTTCCAACTTTAGACTAGATAATTCTAGGTTTTCCTACTTTTTCTCATTGTTCATAATTTCAGACCCTCTCTCACCCTCCATGTCCTTTTAGTAGGGTGACTTTGGTATTCTGTTATCATACCAACTCCTGTGCTCCTTAAAAACAGGACAAGTCGGGACCAGCAGATGCGTAATGATTATGTCACTGGACTCCCACATAGTTGACTGTGTTTTGAGTCCTAGACCCGGTGGCTTAAAACTCATGCCAGGTGTGTGTGCTCAAAATCCCAAGAGGAGAATAGAGGAGAAGGGATTGTGCCATGGCTGTCCTCCCGGCGGGTGATTTCTTGCATTCTATCTCTTTCTCTGTCTTTTCAGCAAGGGCAAGCGTCCTATAGCAAAAATCTCTCTCTCAAAGAAAAAAAAAAGTCAGAACAAGCTAATAGATTTTTTTTTAAAGTTTATTTTTTCAGAGAGAGAGTGATAGGCCTGAAGAGTTTCCTATTCTGAGATCCTTCCCTAACCTCCCAGAAAGCCAGGATTCCAGGCACACATGGGCAATGAAAGCCCTGTTTGACCCAGGATCCAAACCCAGTTCTCCTGTGTGGCTCTAGTATCAAATAATAGCACCCCACTGACTATACCACCATGCCTGGGCCCAATATGATTTTAAATAAATTGTCAAATGCCATCTCCTTCACTCCCATAAATCCCATAAATCCCACAGTATAACAGGCCTCATAGTTATAAAAGCTGAAATTACCAAGGAAGTCACAGAACATACTATAAATTACATAGATCAGAGGTGACTTTCCAAAGAGGATATTTTCAAGATGAGAAAAAAAATGGCATTTTATAACAATCTGGCTAATATTTGTTGGATATTTCTACTGCCATTATAAAACTTTTTCATATGTTAAAATTGGAAAATCCAACAAATAATTTGCAATTCTACCCATATTTAAACCTCGGAATTTATCCTAGCAGAATGAGTGAATATTTGCACTCCAATTTGCTTTGCACAAAAAAATGCTAAATTGTCTTCCCCTCTCAAAGTGAACCAGAGGGTGAACGTGAGTCCAAGCTCCTGAGTCCACCTGATCCACTTTTCTTCTGCTCATTCTCTCCTGCTCCCCAATGAGCCATTTGAGTCTTATTGGGTCATACAGCAATACATCATTTCTTCTGTTTAAAAATAACTGATACATGGTTGCCAAAAGAAGAAAACATCTGGATGTTATTACTGCAGAAGGCAGCAGTAAGCCTAAAATTCCAACTCCAGTGGATGGGAAATTAATGGGCATTAGTAGGTCATGTGAGTTTTTCCTCCCTGCCTCTGCTATTTGGCCATGAAACTTGCAAAAGTTCACACTAATCTCATAACCAGCCTGTCTCTAAGAGAAACAAACAAGAATAAGGCACTTTAATTGGCCCTTACCTTTTCTGACTCCCGCCAACACTTCAGGATGAATATGTGAGCATAGATGTCTTCCACGCAGATCCAGCTAGACAGGCTCAGGGTTGTGTCTGTCCACACCCAGTCCATCACCGCTCGCAGCTCTGTCAGGAATGGAACCAGGCGGAACCTGGCAGGAACCACATCTCATTAGAGAGACATTTCTGAAATGTCCCTCTGCCCATTTGACTCTGGGAGCTCCTCTATGGTTGTTTTAACCATTATGACTAACAAAAAGGTCTCAAGATGACCCTTCCAATAAAATCCAACTTGGAATACAGCAGCTTTTCACTGTAACTCTCATATATGGATTAGTATTTTAAATTCCTTTTCTTTTTCCTGATAGCCATAACCAACTGGGATTCCCCTTTCAAGTAAGTTGGAAGTCAATCAGCTTTTTCACATTTGTTGTTTTGTGTTGCAAGAATCTGTTGGCCATGAAATTATGGAATTATTGTGGCTTTGCTGTAGGATGGGTCAGTAAAAATTTTACACCTGATCAGAAAAGATGAGGGAAAATGAGAGAAGGGAGCAGGATATGTCTCATGGCAGATATGTAAACCCAGGAAGAAATGTTAGGCCCAGACACAGCCTAGCACTGAATGAAATGCTGGTCTGTAAGAGGAGGTTCACAACTCGTGAGTACATTTAGTTCCTCTTCTGTGACTGAGTGACCAGTTTCAGGTCTGGTGTGATGAGGAGCCAGCAGTGCCTTCAAAAGCCTTGCCTTATCGGCCATGTTATAATTTCCGAGGGAATAGAGAGGAGATGAAATCATCACACAGAAGAGCGAATATGCTTTGTTTGGGTAGCTACCTCTCTACGAGGAACAAGGAGTCTTGTGGCATCCAGGCTGGTGTTAGGTGGAATGAATGCCTCTCTTCCATGGATGAACTTACTGTACACAAAAAAAATCCAAAGATATTTTGGAATAGTTGAGACTCCTAATACTCTGTTCCATTATGCCTAGAAATATATTAATAGCTAAGGATCATTGACTTCTGTTTTTCACGCCAGATATTATCACAGTAATTATGCAGAATACTAAGATAGAAAATTAGCCCACGTGGGTCGACCTATAGTAACACCCTGGTTGTGACAAATACACTAGAAAGGTATTTACCAGGCTCATTTAATCTTTTCCTAACATCATAAGAGGTCTCCGTTGAATTACATTGCTCTATTTTTCCTCTTCCTGTTCCCTGTCAGGTAGGAAAAAAATGTTTTATTTTCTCTTTCTCTCTCTCTCTCTCTCTTTTTTTTTCAGTCAATAAGCATGGCCTATCTCTATATTGTTTAGGTCATCCTTAATTTATCTCAACAATGCTTGCGATGCTCAGTGTAGAAGTATGGCACATATTTGTTAGGTTTATTCTTGGTATTTGGTGTTTTTATATGCTATTAGAAATATGGTTTTTAAACATTTCTTTTTTTTTTTATTTTATCACACAAAAACAAAATGCTTTTCAAAAGCTAGCCTTCCCTCCAGAAGTGACTGCAACAATGTGTCTTTACCCTTGAAACAGGAAGAGGTTGACATAGTTGTAGCTCTTTGTGAGGAAGTTTCCCAGGACTCGTGTTGGGTAGCCACAGCGGATTTGGTAGGCCGACAACCCAAAGTAGACGCACTTCACAAAGTACCAGAGCTGAGCTACCAGGTTCTGGCTGAATTTCCTAAAATGTAAAAATATAGAAAGTGAAAAGATGGAATATTTTTCTGGTACAAAAAGACACCAATTTAGAATACAAAATACCCTACTAGTTTCCCCTCTGTCATTTAAAGTCAATGTAAAGGAATTCTCTATACTTAGTGGAGCACTTCAGAGGCAAGGTGGAATAAGAAAATCTAATAATTAAAAAAAAATTCCTGTGAATGATGCCTCTAATGTATATTATTCAGTCATTTAGGTAATGATGAAAATAAATGATTATTAAGTAAATTTACTGAATTTATGGGACTATTAGTCACCTTCTGTATAACACTCCTTTTTTTAGTTCTACTTTAGACTCAGAAGTATCCAAATTTCTTTTTCCTTTTAAAATACTTGCATCAGCACCACTTATGATTATAAAGTAATGATTTCTATACTATGATCAAAAGGTCAGGGCCTAAACATTTAAATGAGAGCAACCATTTTGCTACAACTACAATTAGAAGTAATTTGGATTTCTTCATTAGAAACTACATTTGAGTCAGTGTCTTTATGAACCACATAGGAAAAGCCACTTATTTTTGATAGACACTTCCAAAAATGGGATTAGCTAACCTGATTGATATGTTATTTATAAGACTCGACTACAGATGACTCTGACAAACAATCAAAAGATTGAAATTTACTGTTAAATAAGAAGGATTTTCAATGAAGCCTAAGGATGTTTAAAGAAGTGTGTCACAGACTGAGAAGGTAGTTCCCAAGGAGGGTTTTCAGAACCGTGTTGAACAATGGCAGCATGACTGGATGACTACAGCTCCTGAAGCCAGAGACGGAGAGTTCCAACTTGTTTGTGTATATAAATCGAGATATATTTGTTCAAAAGATCATTCCCAGGTCAGCTGTGGTTGCACAGTGGTAACACGATGCTCTGTGATGCTGAGACCATACGGGAAGGTCCCCAGTTCACATCTCGAGGTCTCCCTTTGCATTCCAGGAGCATGCACATGTGTCTGTGATCCTAGCTGGCTGAGGCTAGGGTTCGGATCATGGCCCACAGAGCCTGTTGGGAGTGCATCTCTCTCTCTCTCTGTCTGCATCTCTCTCCCTGCCTTCCTGTCTCATGGAAGAAATAAATACACATTAAAAAAAAAGACCATTCCTGTTTCATTATATGAATTTTTCTATGTTCACCTTCTGTGGATCCTTTTCTTTAATAATCTAACAGTGCTAATTTGTCTCATTTATAGAAATATACTTTGCTTTCCTTTTATTGATTGACCCATTCATTTGTTCATGTATTAAGCACCAGCTTGCTCATGATCACTGTTTTAGGTGGAGACACAGGGCAGGAAGTAACATGTGGACTGAGATTTAAAGATGAGAAAGAAGAACTATGAATGGGAAGCATGGTGTTTTTATATGCTATTAGAAATATGGTTTTTAAACATTTCTTTTTTTTTTTATTTTATCACACAAAAACAAAATGCTTTTCAAAAGCTAGCCTTCCCTCCAGAAGTGACTGCAACAATGTGTCTTTACCCTTGAAACAGGAAGAGGTTGACATAGTTGTAGCTCTTTGTGAGGAAGTTTCCCAGGACTCGTGTTGGGTAGCCACAGCGGATTTGGTAGGCCGACAACCCAAAGTAGACGCACTTCACAAAGTACCAGAGCTGAGCTACCAGGTTCTGGCTGAATTTCCTAAAATGTAAAAATATAGAAAGTGAAAAGATGGAATATTTTTCTGGTACAAAAAGACACCAATTTAGAATACAAAATACCCTACTAGTTTCCCCTCTGTCATTTAAAGTCAATGTAAAGGAATTCTCTATACTTAGTGGAGCACTTCAGAGGCAAGGTGGAATAAGAAAATCTAATAATTAAAAAAAAATTCCTGTGAATGATGCCTCTAATGTATATTATTCAGTCATTTAGGTAATGATGAAAATAAATGATTATTAAGTAAATTTACTGAATTTATGGGACTATTAGTCACCTTCTGTATAACACTCCTTTTTTTAGTTCTACTTTAGACTCAGAAGTATCCAAATTTCTTTTTCCTTTTAAAATACTTGCATCAGCACCACTTATGATTATAAAGTAATGATTTCTATACTATGATCAAAAGGTCAGGGCCTAAACATTTAAATGAGAGCAACCATTTTGCTACAACTACAATTAGAAGTAATTTGGATTTCTTCATTAGAAACTACATTTGAGTCAGTGTCTTTATGAACCACATAGGAAAAGCCACTTATTTTTGATAGACACTTCCAAAAATGGGATTAGCTAACCTGATTGATATGTTATTTATAAGACTCGACTACAGATGACTCTGACAAACAATCAAAAGATTGAAATTTACTGTTAAATAAGAAGGATTTTCAATGAAGCCTAAGGATGTTTAAAGAAGTGTGTCACAGACTGAGAAGGTAGTTCCCAAGGAGGGTTTTCAGAACCGTGTTGAACAATGGCAGCATGACTGGATGACTACAGCTCCTGAAGCCAGAGACGGAGAGTTCCAACTTGTTTGTGTATATAAATCGAGATATATTTGTTCAAAAGATCATTCCCAGGTCAGCTGTGGTTGCACAGTGGTAACACGATGCTCTGTGATGCTGAGACCATACGGGAAGGTCCCCAGTTCACATCTCGAGGTCTCCCTTTGCATTCCAGGAGCATGCACATGTGTCTGTGATCCTAGCTGGCTGAGGCTAGGGTTCGGATCATGGCCCACAGAGCCTGTTGGGAGTGCATCTCTCTCTCTCTCTGTCTGCATCTCTCTCCCTGCCTTCCTGTCTCATGGAAGAAATAAATACACATTAAAAAAAAAGACCATTCCTGTTTCATTATATGAATTTTTCTATGTTCACCTTCTGTGGATCCTTTTCTTTAATAATCTAACAGTGCTAATTTGTCTCATTTATAGAAATATACTTTGCTTTCCTTTTATTGATTGACCCATTCATTTGTTCATGTATTAAGCACCAGCTTGCTCATGATCACTGTTTTAGGTGGAGACACAGGGCAGGAAGTAACATGTGGACTGAGATTTAAAGATGAGAAAGAAGAACTATGAATGGGAAGCAGAAGAAGGGGAGGGAGCAGGAGATCTCTGAGGTACACAGGAGGATGTCGCACATTGGAGATCTGAAGGCCAGTGTTCCTGGAGCTTAGAGTTCTCACTGACAGATGGAAAAGCAGTGGCCACCTTCTGAAATCTTACTAGTCTTTCTCTACTAAACTGCAGGTTCTTTTTATTTTTTATTATTATTTTTTAATTTTTGCTATAGGAAACAAGCGCTCACCAGAAAGACAGAGACAGAAAGCAAGAAATCCTCCCCCCCCCCCACCCAGGGGGGATGACCATGCTGCAATTCCTTCTCTCCATTCTCCTCCCAGAATTTTGGGCACACATGCACATGCACCTGGTGGGAGTTTCAAGCCCTCCGCGTACAAGACTTAAACCATGATTGGTCACTTCTCTTACTATGTGCTAAGATAATGCAATCTGTTTACAACCCCTAGTATATTCAAGCCCTACAACTATCCCATGTAGCAGATACTACTGTCATCTGCCCCCTCCACCATCTCCCTACAATTTCTTTAACAATTAAACAGCCTCCCTTTTTGCATCCATTTTTTTATGACATAATCTTATGTTCTCTCACCCTCTTAAAACTCTCTTAAGACCATGCTCCAGTTTGTGTCCATATAGACTAAGGCATACAGGCAAACACAACACAAAGACCTACGTTTGCTCTAGTCATTAAGGCTGTCATCTTTCTTATTTGAAAACTCTGTTTCTATGACTATGGATCCAACCTAATGAAAATATCTTTGAGGAATCCACTCATACTGGACTTGCACTGAATTTCACTATTATTCACACCTTGAACTTTCCCTGCCTTGGCTCTGCTGTTCTGCCACACCTCTGCCTATAGTTGGCAATTTTGTTTAAATGCATGTGTGATGATCATCTTAGGA